CCCCCGCCCCAACCCCCCAAAAAAAAGTTCTCTGATCAAAGTTCTCTTTGCGGATTCGAGGAGATCTCGGCGAGCGCAGTCCAACCATGATTTCAAAAAAAAAAATAAAAAAAAATTGACCTATTTTTGGCCCCAACCGGAACTCCAGTTGGGACCGGGCCGGTCCACCGGCCGGTTGCAGGCTTAGCCCTGCTTCCCCTATCAAACCATCGGGATGTTCTATGACGTTGCTGTAGAACATGGGCCGCTCTGGGAAAACAGGGCCCATGAATTACTGGAAGTTATCCATATCCTGATATTTGGGTTGCCACAGCTGGCCTGGGCGGAATACAAACATGGAATCCAGAGGGAAATCGAGATAGGAGAGAGTTATCTAGCGGGGGTGGGTCAACTATTCGAGGAGCCTACCGAACCGGAAGGACCACGAGGACGAGAACGGGACTAGCATCCGGGGGTGGGCCAATGGGGCAAATCAAGTATAGTCCGCTACGTATAAGGGCTCACCGATGAAAATAAGGAAGGACCTCGGACCCGGACGATAAAAAAACGCTAGAGAATAAAGGGGGGAGGGTAGACTCCTAATGGTTGTCGTGACCCTAGAGGTCAAAAAGGGGAATACTGGTCGGGAAACTTTCCCTAGCCAGGACTCCTACGTGCCGGCCCGACGGAACAGGGGCACTCTAAACGAGTCTGTGATAAAAGGAACTAAGTCATGTCCCTTAGCTCGGTAGGGCGGCAGGGCCGGTCGCGGCCCCTTCTTAGGAAAGCAATCGGGAAACGGAAGTGGGGAGAAGGCTACTATCCGAATAAAGATTAGCCAACGAAGCCGGAACCTATGGAACCTAAATGCCTCGCGATGCGTGTGTCCTGGGGAATCCTTTGGTTTATGCAGAATTAGGCAAAATGGCAACGGAGGATGAGACGGATAACCGTAGGAGCGAAGGAGGAGCAGGCTTAGGAGGCAGTGCCGTGCAAAGCGAAGAGGGTCAGAAAGACAGAGAATCGATAAATCCGGATGGTACCAAAGGGAACCGAAAGGAAATCTCCTCAGGGGAAAACTCGG